CTTTAGCTCTAATTGACCCCGAAATGTCTCCCAAGAGCCCAGCAAGCAGGGGAGGGGTTGGTGATGCTGCCAGACACTCTTGACCTCCCGTGGTCCAGCACCGGTCAGGTCCCGAGGGTGCCGGACTAGAGAGGCTCAGCCAGTAGTGGGCTGCTTGCCATCTGCTTGGGGTGTTGTTTTCCTGCCCGCTACGCTGCTGCTTGTGCTGTGCTGTGGGGTGCTCGTCCCGAGGACGGCAAAATCATTCATGCAGGGCTGGGGCAAAGGCGGAAGGTGCTTGCTCGAGTCTCCAGTGACGACAGCGAAATATCCGCATTCGAAAGGCGCCTGTGCCCTTGTGTGTGCAGAGGGCAGTCCGCTACCGGTGCTCAGGACAAAGCCGGCTGTTGTTGGCGAACGGGTCGCTGGGGGGGATTTGGAATGGCATGCCAGGCTGCTGAGTAACTGCAGACCAAGGTTGGTGACCTGCAGGAAAAGAATTCTGGCTTTAGTCCAGCTCCTTCCAGATCAGTTGTCTGCATCGGGGTTGGTGCTAGCATAGGTGCTGGGAATAGGCGTCTTGGTGCACCTCTGACGTTAAGTGGTTCCCATCATAAATGTGGTTTACAGCTCTCGGCACCTCCTCTGTACAAATAGATACTAGTCAATTTCCCCTTTTGGGCAGCCCCGCAGGACTGCCAAGCATTGACTGGCCCAAGAGAGAGGAGGATGGATTTGATCGCGCTTACTCATCCCAATAAGGAAACTCTGCTGGCTCCTAGATCTACACATTAGATCTCATCAGAATGTTTTCAGCACAGATTTTCTCCAGAAAATAGCTATTTGATCACCCCTCCCCCCAAAAAAAGTACCCAGAACATTTCCCTTTGGGTTGAAACTTTTTCTCTCAAACAAACCCTCAGCTGCTTTACCAAAACCAGATTTAAAAAAACCTCAAACACTTTTGGCGAAAAAAAGACTTTTTTTTTGTTCATTTTCAATGAAAAACAAACAAGAAAAAAAGTTCCCATCTGCAGTGTTCTTGTAATTGTTGAATTACACTCTTTAAGTAATTCTTGGATTGGAGCAGCTCTACTCTCTCTCCATATAAATCCACCTCTCTCTCTGAGGAATTAAAGAGAAGGGTGGTCGGTTTTGCAGACATGGTGAATCCCCCATATTTGCGGCTTTGGATCATTTCTGAGTGGCACCACATGAGCCTGGGTCTTGCAATAAAGCCATTTTTTTCGGTGCTCACGTGGACCGAGGGAAAGTGTTGAACATACCACATGACCCTGCAGTTTTAATCGGTTGCCTACAGCAAGCTTTTACATAGTCAATGTTTACTTTCCATGGAGCTATAATAGCTCCCTGGAACCCTAGAGGATATTGCAAGACAGGCTCAGCTGTAAGGGCAACAAAATAAACAGAAGAAACCCAGTCCCGGCGTGGGATAGCGCGGCAGCCGTGGGCGAGTTGTGTTCTGAGGTCAGTCCCGACGAAATGCAGCAAAAAACAGCTGGCGGAGTGTTGGTGGCAAGTGGAAACGATTGCGGTGACCGTGAGCACCGTCTGCCGTTGGCTAGAACAGTCCTTTCCATCCCAGCCTGGCAAATTGCTCGACTGTGAGTCAGTGGCAGACTTGGGAGGAGAACCCAGGTGTCCGGATGTGCTTGTCCCGTGCTTGAGTGGCTCCCCCGTCCCTACGTGCGTGTCCTGACCTGGCAGCCGGGCTGGGGTACGGCGCCCAGCATTTAGATATTTCTCCAAGCTCAGTGGGTGTCCCTCTTGGGTCTGCCCTCTTGGATGGGAAGTACGGGTGAGGCTGGGTTGGGTGTTTTTGCTTTCGTGAGTTTCCTGCTGCCAGCCAGTCTGGCGATGCTGCAGGACCACGCTGCAAAAATGAGCAGGAGGCGGGAGACTCTTCAGAACCGTTTTAGTGAGTGTCACCGGAGTGCGGGGGACTGTCCGGGCCGTGCGCCTCCTGTCTGCATTCAGTCGTGACTCTCGGGCGGCAGGTAGAACAGAAGGTTTATTAGTCCACAGGGACGCAGCGTAGAACAGACGTGTTGGCTCAGAAAGCAGAAGCAGCCAGTACCATCCATCTTGGGGAGAGGGGGGCCCGGAGCCAGGGCTCTGGCCCTCCCCTTGCCCCCCCAAGCCAGATGAAACTGACCCACTCCCAGCTCCTGGGCCTAGCCCCCCAGCCAGGCCACTCTGGCCTTTGTCCTGGTTCCCTGGCAAAAGGTATCCCCAGATCGCACCTGCTCCCCCCTTCCATGCTCAGGAGGATATGACACCGAAATTCCATTCTCGTCTAGGTATTAGTACAGTGCCCAGGGAAACTGAGGCACGCACATGGGCTTACTCTGGGACAGTAGAACTCATGTGCCACATAACAAAGGGAATAAAACCCCCACTTTGTCCCACTGAAGTTGTTATTTTTTTTGGAGGGAGGGCAATGGGGTTTGCCATTCAACCCCAAGTCTTTGCTTCTCGCTGACTACGCGCTGCCTTGGTGAATGATGTCCCCATCTGTGGCTGGTCCCAGGACCCACGCCAGGCCTCTGCTCAGCCACTGGGCTCAGGGGCAGGTCTTAGCCATCCAGCTCCAGGGATTGCAAACACGGCTCAGGACTGGCCCTCCACCTCGCTCCACATTTACTCCCCCGACTTCTCCCTCCCCCGACTTCTCTTGCTTTTTCACATGGACTTCACAGCTCAGACTCAGCAGGCGGGTTGGCCTATGTGCACCCTTGACGGCGTGAGGTGGGATGGGGCCAGCGCTGGAATTCCACCCGGCTGGTTACAGAGGGAACCTAGTTTCATGGGGCGCTCAATGTTCCCTCTCATTTTTTTTCCCCATCCAGGTGCGGAATAAATATGTGCACCAAGGCCTGTGCAGACGTGCACCACATGTAGAAACACATGTGGGCGCTCTGCTAATCTATGGGGTGGCCTTTGAATCTCTCCTGGTTGGCCACCCAGGGGCTCAACTTCCAGGGAACCCTGGTGGTGTTCCTCAGCCTGGCACTCAGCACTGAGTCAGCACCTCCCTCGTCCTTTGCTTGTGGCAAACCATTTCCCCCTGTGTTCTTGTGGGAGACGCGGGGAGAGTCCAGGAAAACCACAACGTCTCTTGAAGGCTGGACAGAGTGGTTCAGAAAGCCCCTTTGGGCAGGAATTCAAGCCACAGAACCCAGACCTGCCCCCCCATCTGAACATGGGTGACTTTACTCCTAAAAGGTCACGCGAACGGTATCCGGACACATGAGCTGTACGGTACACTCAAGCTACTGAGCCATAATCGTCCGCAGCCTTATGGCTGGTGTCGCAACACCTCCGCCAAACCAGAACTGAATTTCCACAACTCCTCTGGGCTCAGAAGTACAGTCTGCCTCTTAGTAGGGTTGCCAGATGGTTTCAACAAAAATCCCGGACATAGTTGACGTGACATTACAATCTACAGTGCATCTTACTCAGAAAATACCGGACGTTGATATTTTCTCATTTCTATTTTCTCAATTTGTTTCCGAACTGAAAGCTCAAATTCTGGACTGTCCGGTTCAAAACCCGACACCTGGCAACCCTGCCTCTTATAGATGAAGAAATGGAGGTGTAGGGTGGGTGATTAGGGACGTAAAATCCCATTTAAAAAGTTAACTGGTTAAATGTTAAGTTTAACTAGTTAACCGGGATCCGAGGGGGTGTGGGCTGCAGCGGCCCTCCCCTCCCACCTTGTGGCCGGCCCAGCGGAGCTATTGGTTAACCACTTAATGGGGAACTGGTTAACCCTTTAGATCTCTATGGGTAAGCATCAGAGCTAAGGCTGCAGGCCAGGAATAAAGTCCAGACTCTCGGGCCGGCCTCCAGAGAGGCTGTCTGGCCCCCCTGCCTGTCCGGGGGTCTGTGCGCGTTTCTGTCTGCAGACAGGTTTCCTCCGGGCCCGGCGCAAGGGCAGCGCCGTCCGCGACCGGAGTTTCTGAGCGTGACCCAGTCAGAAGAGACTTGCACAAATCCCAACGAAGCCGCGCCAGGGAGTTCTCCGGGTCTTCTCCCTAGGCCGGGGGGCTGGGACCTTTCTCGGGTCAGGGGCCGCTGACCCACAGAAAGATCAGTCGGGAGCTGCACAAAAGTGTGAAGCAACCCCCATCCTGCCCCCCCCCCCCCCCACCGCAGCCCCTCAGACGCAGGACG